AGATTTTTTCATATATTTCCCCATTCCCATATTTTATCCTCAACAGAAATCTGGAAACATCTTCCACTGCTGTCTCCAAGGGACGCCCGGCTGGAAGGAGTTAGGTCCTTCCTCCCAGAGCCGGCCGTTCTCATCGCTCATGGTGGTGATATTTCCACCTGCAGAACTGGCGGCGATGGATGTGGATTACTCCAAAAGGTGGAGCCTCAATGGATGAAATCTTGGCCTTACTGGGTGTGGTTTTCAGATATTCTGGTTGGTGGTTGACCTACCCCTCTGAAAATGTGAAAGTCAGTTGGGATGATGACATTCCCAACTGAATGGAAAAATTAAAATTCATCTTCCAAACCACCAACCAGTTTGGGTTTTTGGTTTTTGTGTTTCGCCCCAGCTATTTGTTTGCGGGGGTATATTACTGGAGTCCTCCAAGTTGGTGTTGACAGGAAGACCTGCGACTCCTAGCTTGATATTTGCGACGAAATCAGTTGGTTGGGCAAATCACAAAGTTCCATAGATTCGAACAACCAAGAATTATTCTTTTAACCATCCAGCTTGACTGGTTATTAGAATAACATGATGAACAAAAACAAACTCCAAGACACTAACTATACTGGCCCTCTTTGAGCATTACAAACATGGCTTCACAAACAAGGACCTTCAACCGCTTCAACGAGCCAAAGGCTCTTAATTCGCTGCTTCCGGACATAGATGGAGAATAATAAGAAACAAATTGAAGCCACCAAGCATTCATCCATATCAATTGTATCGATTTCCGCTAGTTACCGCTAGTTCTATCCCTATCCTTTCTATAGTAATTATAATATCTATCCATGTCCCCCAGCTCGATTCCACCTCCCAACTCTTGGAGTCATCTCCCCGCCGTACATGATGCCGTCGTGGATCTCTCATGGAACTGTTGCTATACTTAAATGATGTGAATTCTCAAGTATCTTCTTGGTTAAAAAAAACATATATCCACACCATATGTTGTTGCTGAAACCATCTAAAACCCATGTTTTCATGGGGAAATCCTGATCCCTCCCGTCAGCCCCACGCCACGCCTGCTCGGTCTCGCGCCTCTGTGACCACCACCGAGCTCTCTGGGCGATCCTTCAAAATCCTGCGCCCCAAATGCCATAGAAATGCCACAGAAATGAGGATTGAACCAATAAAAATGGTGGAAAATGAATGAAAATGATGGAACATGAGCGGATTTAATCATCAAACAAGGTGGAAACCCTCTGGTCAACTAACACAATAGCGAACTGGAAAATCATCATTTGTCAATTTGTCAATATCTTTAATAGGTAAATGATCTGTAACTGGGCGATTTTCCATAGCTATGTTTGTTTCCCCGGGAGGGGGGCGCAGCGGCTTTGTCTTTGATGCGGTCGATGCCGGGGGAATCGACCTGTTCTACAAATATACCTCCCAGGCCCTTTGTCGCCAAGGAGTTTGGAGTGGGGTTTGATTCCCCCTTATGATGATCAGTCCTTGGTTGCATTGTTATTGGATTTGGTCAGTTTGGGCAGCCACTCCTACAAGGGAGACTGGATTTGGCATTCAGTCGACCACGGTCCTCCTGGACTGTGGGTGTGAGTGCCCATCACGTTTGAATCTGCTGATTTCTCCATTAACTTGGAGAACTGCGCTGGTGACGTCGGTGGCTCTGCGCATGGTGGGTTGCAGTTTTGCTTCAATTCAGTTGCTTTTTGTCGCGGCTCGTGGCCGGACCGCGCGGTGGTTTTGCCTTCGCCGCCCAGTTCTCGAAGTGCTCGTGGCTCACTGTACTTGAAGACTTGGTTGGTGTCCAAGAGATGGCGCTCAGAGAGCCACCGCTCACACTACCGACTGGATGATCTGGATGGTGGTTGCTATAGAAGTTTGCTCACTGGAAACCTCTGCTGAACGACGGGTTCTGGCCTACTTCTTTGTGCTGTGTCCGTTTTGGGGCATTCGCACATAAAAATGTTCTTCTTTTTCTTCTTCTTCTTCTTCTTAGCTTATGTTTGTTTGCTGGTGGGTATGGCGACCATATCCCTTAAAAAAGTATTATGAAATGATGTGTGGCGATTTCATGGTGTTCAACACTGGGTTTTTGTAGGGTAAATACTGAAAACTTGACATGTGTTCATTTGTTTAAAAGAAACTTTGATGATCTTAATGGGAATTGAATGTGGGTCTCATGGCTAATCAAATGGGAATTCAACAGTTTCAGTGGTACAAATCATTGTTTTCCATGAGTTGATTTTCTTAGGAAGACAGACATGGAACTCGTGCTTTCAACTACTAAATAAAGACATCTTCATGCAAAAAGGTTTCCCTGCAAATGTTCCTCTCATCCAATTGTAGGACTTTCGAATTCTTCTGGGGTCAAGCTTTGTATGGGCCTCAAAAGTTGCTGGTTCAACATCTGATTTTTCTGTAGTAGCCATATATATAGATTCTAGGGATTGAGCAAATATGGAATTTGTTTTCGTTGGGTTTTGGTGTGCGACCGAACGTCAGTTGCAAGCACGCTTTCGCATTGAGCGATCATTCCAAAAAACAAATAAGAAAGACCTGATGTTTGTTCTTGATGATATCATCGTATCGATATTTGTGTTCAATATTAAGAGTCAGTCAAAATCACTAAAAGTCGTGCCCAGGCGTTTTGCCGACCACATGACACGCCCAACGTCAACTCATCCCCTTTTATCTCGCGCGCGCTCCTTGGGAGACGCCCGGTGGGCACGAAATCGGCTCCGCCGGTGGGGAATGCATTGAAGAAACAAATCATGAAGGACACCATCACAGCAAGCGGGAAGTCATGGGGAATACATACATACGTACACTATATTTATATATATATACCACAAACGAAACATATAGTCTACATAAGCACTAATAAGAACATATAGAGTAAATATAATATGGTGTATGTATGTATGTATGTATGTCTGTATGTCTGTATGTTTGTATGTCTGTATGTCTGTATGTCTGTATGTCTGTATGTCTGTATGTCTGTATGTCTGTATGTCTGTCTGTCTGTCTGTCTGTCTGTCTGTCTGTCTCTCTGTCTGTCTGTCTGTCTGTCTGTCTGTCTGTCTGTCTGTGTGTCTGTGTGTCTGTATGTCTGAATGTCTGTATGTCTGTATGTCTGTATGTCTGAATGTCTGAATGTCTGTATGTCTGTATGTCTGTATGTCTGTATGTCTGTATGTCTGTATGTCTGTATGTCTGTATGTCTGTATGTCTGTATGTCTGTATGTCTGTATGTCTGCATGCCTGTATGTCTGTATGTCTGTATGTCTGTATGTCTGTATGTCTGCATGTGTCATGTCTGTATGGCTGTATGTCTGTATGTCTGTATGTCTGTATGTCTGTATGTCTGTATGTCTGTATGTCTGTATGACTGTATGTCTGTATGTCTGTATGTCTGTATGTCTGTATGTCTGTATGTCTGTATGTCTGTATGTCTGTATGTCTGTATGTCTGTATGTCTGTATGTCTGTATGTCTGTATGTCTGTATGTGTGTATGTCTGTATGTCTGTATGTCTGTGTGTCTGTATGTCTGTGTGTCTGTATGTCTGTATGTCTGTATGTATGTCTGTCTGTCCGTCCGTCCGTCCGTCTGTCTGTATGTATGTCTGTATGTCTGTATGTCTGTCTGTCTGTCTGTCTGTCTGTCTGTATGTCTATATGTGTGTATGTGTGTATAAATATATCCTAAAATAGACTAATATATTATATGCATACATGTTTCTCAGTTTATCACTGCAACATATGTTTTTTGTTGGCGCTTGGAGTTGGAGTAGTTCAGCAGCAAAAACTCCAGCCGGTTTTCCGGGGTTGAAAATACACAGTTTTTCGGGGCATTCTTCGTTTATTTTTCGTTTATTCATTGGGATTACTGGGGATCATTGGGGAATGTTGGTTGATTCACATCTGGTTGGTGGTGCGATAACCATCTTAAAAATATGAGTTCGTCAGTTGGGAAGGATGACATCCCATATATTATGGAAAGTAAAAAATGTTTGAAACCACCAACCAGAAATAAACATCCTGCTACAATATAGCAAATCAGATATAATTTTGATATAATTACTTTGCTGGTCATTGGATGTCATTGAGGTATTTTTCATTCTTGAGTACCTCTCCACCGGCTGCTTTGGGAGTGAAACCACCTTTTCTGGAAGCTGTGGCACAGGAGCAAACGAAAACAACGCTTTCGTTGGATAGTTTGGTGCGAGCAGTTGATGGTTGGCTGCGATTTGTTCAATGGTTGTTGAAGGTTGATGCTTGTCACATGTTTGGATAATGTAATATAATGTAATCCCAGTCACCATTTTCACAATCCCATTCAATCACCATTTTAGCAGAATTTCAAATGTTTGGCAAATGCCTTGGGAAATCGCTGGCTCCGGCAGTGCTTCGATGTCGAAGAACGCGGCATGTCGGCGCAGAGACGGACCAAAAAAGGAATGTGAATTCCAAGTTGCTCCGGATCCACATATTTATAACAAGTGGTAAGATCGGGAAAATGAAAAGCTGTCATATTTTTATATCATATTTCATGCATCCTTCAATCCCGTTTAATCCATATTTAATGCATATTTAATCCATATTTAATCCATATTTCAACTGCTGCAATCCCCTTTTGCGTTAGTCTGGGAAAAGGGTGCCCCATTCCATACACTGGTTAACCAACATTTTCACAGGTCAAAGTCAAATTTGGTGTATACATGTGTATACCGTTTCCAGACACACCCATCTATCATATCGAGCTGGTTCCTGAAAAATCCAGTGAATGCAACTAGATGCGACTAGTATCTTTCTGATGATCCTCAATGATTGCCGCTATGTCACCTATTTCAAGTGATAAGAAATTCATCCAAAAAAACAAGATTTTATGGGATCACCATGACATCATGATATCATCATTTTTGCTGGCCAAAAACGGTAAAACCATGGATTTGCCATGGGACTCTCACCCCTTGGCCCTCCAAAGCTGGGCCCATCAAGCGCCCCGAATGGCCGGCAGGGTGCCGCTGGCGCCGCCGCCCGGCGTCTTGCGTGGTGTGCGGGCGGAGTAGCTGCCCCCGTGCCTAGGGGGATGGGAAGATGACTCGCTGGGAATGGATTGGTGGGAAAATCTGCAATAAACCATGGTTTTGACCAGCAATTCTAGGGGTTTCCTGTACACCAATCCAATGAGAATGGGAAGTTGTGATTTTGGAATTCATAGTGATTTGGAGGTTTGCTGAGTCATGGGGTCACCCCCAAATCATCTATTTTATTTTCGGATTTTCCATTAACGATTCAGCTATTGGGGTACCCCCGTTTTAGGAAACCTCCAATTTTTCAATGATCATGCGCTCAGTTTTTCTGAATGGATTCACGACTCAAGTGGATTTAAGTGTGTCTCAATGGATCAAATGGAATAGTGATGTCATGGGATTTTTCAGGTGATTTTTCATGGGATTTAATCGTTAACATGTGTTTTTCCGGTTTGGGATTCTGATGTAATTTTATGTGTTTTTTTAGTGGGATGTCAATAGGATTCACGTATTATTCCAATTAGACTTTTATGGAATTTCTTGGGGTTAGGTGCTGTTGATCATGGTATGGATCTATAATCCCATACCCTCAATATAAAACATCCACTGGAAACAAATCATAATGTAGGATTTTTTCACAGATTCGGATCATACAATGGAGGTTGAATGGTTGCATTTGATTTATCGGCCAATATGAACTCATGTGTTCATGATTTATCCAGAGTCCAATGCGTACCACATGAAATCCCATTACATCCACATGAAACCCCATGAATTATGCCATGTTATCCCATCAATTCATCTCCCATGACTTCCGCCATGACTTTTCCGAGCGGCAAATCTTTCCAGCGTGGCTCCAGCAGCTTCTCAATGGACCTCGACATGCTGCGAAAAATGGGGAGTTCACTGAGTTAGGTATGGAACATGGCTCATTTATAGAGGCTAAACATGGTGAATTACCTACTAAACATTGTGATTTGATTCTTTTATGGTTTAGGACTCAAGACTTGGACTTGACAAGCATTTGCTTTTTATCAATGTACATTTACATTCAAGAATGGAGATTGAACCAACAAAAGTGAACTTAAGGAAGAACAATGGTTATTTCAACCCACACTCATTAGGCTTGAAGAATCTTAAGTGCCAACAAAGGACACTTAATCCTGGGATTAATAAAGCCCGAGTCAATAGTGAGGGAGAGGACCCCCCAAAGCAGGGATACTTCTACTTACAACAATGTGGAAGAATATCCTTCTATAGACCATGTAGCCTCATGTGGCAAAGGACCTCATTTAGGGTAGAAATAAAGATGCGGACAGCAACACAAACAGGGATTAGTGAGTGTGAATCATAATTTGCACAGGCCTCGCCCCTCAAATAAAAATGTGTCCAGCAAATCATCCTTCAAGGTCAGTGTAAACTAAACGGCATAGCCTAAGGGTTTCATCAGCACATGTGGCTACTGATTAATGAAACTACCGTACATCTGCCCAGCCAGTCGGTTTCCCATACCAAATTCCAAGTGCATTCCATGCAGTCCCTACAAATAATTGTAATACTCGCTAATATCCCTGTTCTAGCATTCTATCCCCATTATACCCGATGATACCCACAATTTCTCCTCATCTTTCCAATTACCAAAAACATCGGTCATTTCCCCTCAATTCATTGCCATAGATTGCCATGTTCCAACGACAAACCATGGGAAAACGATGGAAAAAATGGTTTGAACCCCCCACCCCATCCAGCCCGAACAGCAAAGCCAAGCTGCTCGGCCAACAGTCGAACCTCCTCGAAAACCGCCGAGACTTCTTCCGTCCCCGGGGAGGCAGCATCCTAAGGGAAAGGTGCTGGGGCTTAAGGGAAAGGGAGAACGTTTACATCGTGAAAAAGGGTAGTTTAAGATAGTTTAAGGGTGTACCAGATATAAATCCCGGACTCAACTCATCCAAGAATCGAGATTTAAGTAAAGTTAAGCCAGTTAAGCAGTTAAGCATCCAAAATAGTGGTCAAACCTGATTTAACAATCTTGAAATGGAGATAGCCAACGGTGATTGAAAATACCCATACCCCCAGTAGATGAGACCCGAAAAGGAATGGATCCAGTATCAATCCAAGTTTCCTAGATTTTCTCATGGCATAAGAACAAGATAACTACCATGACTACCCTGCAAACAAATATCTTCCAGTAAAGGTTGACTCACTGTATCCAACTACGGTAATTCTCCTCCGGTATCAAACATGGCGAAATTTCCCGTTTACACCTGGGAGTTGCTTCCAAAATCCGCCTGCTATTGGGGTTTGTCTGAAAATGTTGGGAACACCCCAAAATCCAATGGTTTATCATCAGTTCCCCTATTCAAATTGCCGGTAAATTCCTCACTTTCAGGCACGACCAACTATCACAATATTGTTGGTGAGTCATATCCTATCAAATATCCCACATCAAAACCCGACTAAATCCCAAATGGTTTGTTAAACCTCCCATTGAATCCACGATTGATAAACTATCAAGTTCGTAAGTTAATGCCAGTTACATCCCATTGTATGCCCATGATTGCCCAAAGAATCGTTAGAAATATACGTGTTTTAATCATATCGAGAATACAATTAAAATTAAACATACCATATCATACCATTAGGAAAAAACATACCATTAGGAAAAAAACATTGCATATAAAAAAAATGAACTTCCGTAAAATCCTATTTTTCAACGACTGTTCTCTTTCATCACTTGCGATGATTTTTGCCGGACCGCCTTGAAGAGGGAAGCGTTTAGGTCAGGCGCTACCAGATCCTGGTGTTTGGTTCAATGGTCATGTAACCAGCAAAAGTGGTAACTTAAGCAACAAAAATGATGGCATAATGGGGAGATAGGTTTTGAGAATTTAACCATGGACAATCACCCGAGGGTAAACATACAAAAAGATTTGGAAAACCTCAATGCTTTCCGTCCGGAAAATGCTCTACAGATTCCACGGTGCGTTTTCCACATCTATGTTAGTTTACTGGAGGCTAATTAGGTGTTCAAAAATGATACCAGTACAAGCAGCGATATCAAGTTTCATCACATTGATTAATGACGCTAATGTCATATTGATGGATATAAATCTACTGTATGTTGTAGTAAATGGTGATTCATGTCCTGATGTTCCATTTTTTATGCAAAACATTTGCCAACCTGAAAAGCAAGGCCATTTCGGAAGAAATAAACCAAATCTAGAACAACAATTTGATTGGTTTTGGTTTTGGGATAATTTTTATCATCTCACCATACCACGTGTTTTTTTTGTTCACTGATTTCGGGTATGACAATCAAGTAGATGGATTTCCTGTAAATTATTCTTTCAATTCATTTCTTAATCACCCAGCCATTCTGGGAATGATTTGCGACTTCTCTCTCTCTCTCTATTTCTCTCTTATACTGACTATACTGCATATCTATATATGTACTGTATATGATATATGCATATATATATATGCAGCTTCCATATGAACTACTTCTCCAGTCACATGACATATTTTTCAACAAAGCCTTCTTTCATGGAGATCCATTTGAACCAGCGGCCCACCTCCAAGACATCATCCTGCACGCATGAATCTCGACATCGACATGGGATGGCTCCCCTTGGGTCTTACCTCTTACGACCTTGAGGTCTTCGTGAGCTTTGAGGTCTCTTGTGTCCAATGATACTCCCACTGGTTGGTGGGTTTTAACCATCTTGAAAAATATGAAAGTCAGTTGGGGTTATACTATTCCCAATATATGGAAAAATAAAAAAATTGTCCAAACCACCAACCAAACCAGGATTGTTTGTCCTACCAACTGCAAACTCCTGATATCTTAAATGTGAAATGAGGAGGTCGCTGTGGCATGTGAAGCCAGCCATTTGGTTAGGAGAACCTCTGCTACATCCCCACTGTACGACGTTCACTCCGGAAGACACGGAAGATGGGGTGGGGCAATGCGGCAAGGGTGCTACCCTCTGAGAATCAAGCACGGCAAGTGATTTCCTTGGTTTGGAATACATCATCCAGAAATATCTGGAAACGATTAAGATGGCTTTTCCATTGCCCGTTTGGCTCACAAGAGGGTACGTGGCAAACCGCCCAGCAGCAAGAAAAGTTGTATGACATCGCTTAATTAATTACAAGATAATCACATATTGGGCTATATACATCAGTTCAATTATCATGGAAAAGTAAGATGGTATAAGGAAGAGGCTTGATTATTCTTCACAAAACATAATTAGTGCACATCCAGTTGTATCACAAAAAACATACATATCCGATGTTCTTCACTGGTTAAATCTACTTGGCTCTGAGTCAAAATCCTGGTACCCTGGTTTCACCTCAAAATAGCAAGAAATTACGGATGTTCATCCCCGAAAAACATTGTAGTTCAATGTATTTCATAGGTTTTGACCCATACCGATACCCACTTAAGTCTCATTAAATTACACCCCATTTCATCCAATTTTATGGTTGAACTTAACCCCCTGAATTACCTTATCAATAACTCCCCAATATTGATACATAATGATACATATTGAAACTATTCGATACTTTTTGATATCACTGATTATCACTGATCACTACCTATTAATAATCTCCAAAAAACTTTGTTAGCCAATAAGCTGCTTTAAAAAAATGTTTTTAAAATGTATAAAATGTTGATTGTGATAAACCTATACTTATCCAAAATAATGATGATATATGATGATTATGATTATGATGTAAAAAACTTTTTAGCTGTTTTGTTTCATCCAAAATCTATAAGTGGATTTCAGCATGTTTATTCAAGACCTACGGATCTTTCACTAGCATCTGGGCATGTTAATCATGTTACATCCCCAATCACCGCCCGATCACTGCCTCATCTTGCTCCTGTGCGGAGCTTTGCGCAGGGGCCCAGTTGTAACAACACTGGTGATTTAAGCCCAAAACACGGTTTTTAAATACCAAAAATGAACATTTACCTCACTAAAGATGCATCTTTTCTCCCAAACATAGCTCTGGGTAGAGGTTACTCGGATTTGCCCAAGAAATACCAAAAGAATGTACATACTCCCTGTAGGTTCCACAAATGTTAAAATTTCCATTGGTTGCCCAATGTCAAAAACAAAAACAACTTAAGCAACCCCAAATTATATCACCATATATCACCATGTTTGTTGGCTAAATCACCATTTTTTGGTCAAATCACGTTGAATCGACATAAAAAATCACACAAGGGCGTTAGCTAATGGCTGATGCGGCTGGTTTGTGCAAACGCAAAGTGGGGAACGTCGTTTGCAACCCCAAACAAAGATACAGAAAAATGACATCCGGTTCTAAAATCGTAGTATGTGGTGGCTTCCAAAAATGGTGGTAGCCCTGTTCATCATCCATTTTAGTAGGGTTGTTCCTTTATAAACCATCCATTTGAGGGTACCCCCATTTATGGAAACCCCCGTTTAAATTGTTGCTGTTCTATCTTCTTCGCGGGGGTGACTGTACAGCCGGATCACTTGGTAAGAATTTGATATAGAGTTGCTCAGTTTGGATGCCGCTTTGCAGGGTATGACTTGTTCATTTGAGACCTGTGGGCTACTCATAAACGGGGCTACTCATAGAGCCGCGCCCCAAACATGCCAGAATTCCTGAAAATTCTGAATGAATCATTCTCAAACATCAGGAAAATCCCAAATCATTTGAAATCTTCTGCTGCTGTCTCAACCATTTTGGGTTGGTTTGAAAACTCCAAAACATTCGAAAACAAAAACAAAACATTCTGAAACTAAATCCAAAGCATTCAAACAAATTCAGATAAATCCAAAAAATGCCAAAACATTCCAAAAGATTCCAGAAATTTCATGAAATTTCCACCAAAATTACTTTACTTGCGGGGGGGAAGCCCCAACCATGCAACATTATACATTGTCCTACACTGGGCAATCTTCGGCATTCCTTCTGGCATATCTTCTGGCATATCTTCTGGCATTCTATCTGGCAAATCTTCTGCCATTCTATCTGGCATATCTTCTGGCACTCTATCTGACATATCTTCTGGCATTCAATCTGGCATTCTATCTGGCATATCTTCTGGCATATATTCTGACATATCTTCTGGCATTATATCTGACATATCTTCTGGCATATATTCTGACATATCTTCTGGCATATCTTCTGGCATATCTTCTGGCATATCTTCTGACATATCTATCTGGCATATCTTCTGGCATATTTTCTGGCATTCTATCTGGCAAATCTCCTGGCATTCTATCTGGCATTCTATCTGGCATATCTTCTGGCATATTATCTGGCATTCTATCTGGCATATCTTCTGGCATATATTCTGACATATCTTCTGGCATTCTATCTGGCATTCTATCTGGCATTCTATTTTGCATTCTATCTGGCATATCTTCTGGCATATCTTCTGACATTCTTTCTGACATTCTTTCTAACTTTCTTCTGCACATTCTTTGTCCCATATCTTCCTACATGAGGTCCGGCAGGGAACACTTGGCGTGGATACTCGCGGTTGAGGTCCGGCCGGGAACACTGGGCGTGGATGGTCGTGGTTGAGGTCCGGCAGGGAACACTGGGCGTGGATGTTCGTGGTTGAGGTCCGGCAGGGAACACTGGGCGCGGATGGTCGTGGTTGAGGTCCGGCAGGGAACACTGGGCGTGGATGGTCGTGGTTGAGGTCCGGCAGGGAACACTGGGCGAGGATGGTCGTGGTTGAGGTCCGGCAGGGAACATTGGGCGTGGATGGTCGTGGTTGAGGTCCGGCAGGGAACACTGGGCGTGGATGGTCGTGGTTGAGGTCCGACAGAGAACACTGTGGATCGCGAGTCGCGACGAGGAGGACGACGAGGAGGACGACGAGGAGGACGACGAGGAGGAGGAGAGGAGAAGAGGAGAAGAGGAGAGGAGGAGCAGAGGCAACTGACATAAAATCTAACAACCCTCACCTGGCAGGTGGGGAAAAACATAAAATTCCAGAAAGAAAAAACAGAAAACGCACACACACACACCAAAAAAAAAATGAAATGGAATGTTCTGGAATGTTTTGGAATTGTCTTTGATGATGGGCTACCAGGCTACAACCCAAAAATCTGAGTATCCCTCTGTATGAGCGCCCCTATCCTCAGAGAAGATTCATATCCCACACCCCATGAAAACTGCTCAAAGGTGCTCTAAAAGCACTTTACATAACCATTTTATATATATATATACATAATGGGTATCTTTCCATTTATTGGGATACAGTACGTTCTCATGGATTGCTGGCTATACATCAACATCAATGTGAATCCATGGCGATGTTCACCACTTGTTGGCAACGAGGCACCTTCGCCGCGTTGGCATTTTGCTTAATCTCTTTCTCAATCTGCTTGAAAATGTAGTTGCGAAGGTCCTCTCACGGGGTGGACGGAGCCGGGAGCCCTCGTTGTGTGCTGGATAGAAATGGTAGATGGTTCTGGGGAGTAAATACGTCAGTTCTTTAAGACTTAGTTTTTTTGTAGCCCATATTGGTGATGGGACCTTGTATATCTCCGATCTCCCATCTCTTCCCACAATGCCTGGCAGTTCTGGAGTTGATACCCCAATAAAAGGTATATAGATTACTGTAGAAGGCGATGAATGCGCTACCAGGTTACCATGTCCAATATCCATTTGCAGATGATCTCCTCATTATCACGTCGTAAACCCAATCGTGAACTATCTTGAACTGTCATGAAGGATCAATAAAAAAAAACTCATTGGGTTGATCAGAAAAATCAGAAAACCCATATCTTTACCAATTCTCCATTCATAAATGTTCATAATAACCCCATTTGATGGTTACCCTCCTGTAAACTGGAAACCCATCTCCCCACGGTCCACTGGACATCCGAGGACTGCCTGGCAGAGCTTCTGATCTATTGGTAACCCTAAAAAAGGATAGAAATCGGTTGAATGTATCATGATATTCTACATATTAATATATATCTATATGTATGTATGTATGTATGTATGTATGTATGTATGTATGGAATTTACTCATCTGCAGTTTTTTGGGGATGTAAAAAGGGGACTTAATATTTAACCAACAACAAATATATCTTGTGTTTAAAACTAACGATATCTAATAATCTAATGATGCTGGGGATATCTTGGGATAGTCTCTGGAATATTATATAATACATCATATGTATCACCGGCAATATACAATACTATGAGATGAGTTTGCAAAAAATTGGGCGCGCCCAATTCCCCGGAGTAAGCATATGGTGCTCAAAAATCAATAGATCCACTCGTAACAATGGTGTCTGGGCAAAGGACACTATCTGGGAGACCGGACTAATATAATATTATATCTATAATATAGATATAATATTATATTAGTCCGGTCATAAAAGCGTTTGGGATATTTAGGAATGACATAAGAGGTAGGTTTTCGACAGAAAGACACATTTGTTACTGTTTCTGTGGTTTGATGTTGGGTCGTGTCTTTCTCAGCAGTCTGATGGTTGTTGTTTCTCTTTTCCAATGTTTCCCCTGTTCTTTACACTACAGCCAAGTAGATAGTTGTACTGCCAGGAACAAAGGCCAAGGAGGCCAAGAAACAAAGGCCAAGCAGCCCCAAGACACAAACGAAAAACACACCTTTGCACAAACATTAGACTGCTTTTATCTCGCACTCGCGGGTTGCCGTACATATATATATATATATATGCAGTACAATATATATATATATATGTATGTATGTGTAAATGCATATGTATAAGTAGATTATAAGTGTATATATATATATATGTATGTATAAATATATATATATATATATGGACACATATGTCCTAGAGCAAATGTCAATCCCTCTAAACCCTGGCTCTTTCGTCCAGGTGCTGCAGCTTGGTCGATCTGCCGCTTCTTCTCCAAAGTCATGGTTTCCAGCTTGGCCTTCCTGGGGTTGATGCGGTTGATGTCTGATGGCGGGGAAGGTCGACCAATTACCAACGCTGGCTGAAAATAAATGTCATGTGGTTAAAACATGTTAAAACAATGTCATAAACCACCCATGACTGGGAATGGTAAGCATACCACCTATAAAAATGGTGAAATTGGGAATGGTTTATTGTTGTTTTACCCACATTAATTATACCATTTGAATGGGGAATATATTGATGTGTCAATAAATCATCAACTTTGGGGGTACCCAAAATGTTCAGACAAACCCATATACAATAATGTTGGTAAAACAATAATAAACCATCCCCAATTTCACCATAAATAAGTGGTATAAACCATTCCCAAATGGATGGTTTTTGACATTGTTTTAAATAACCACATTACTTAAACACATGTCATGAGATTGTGTGATTCCTGGTGAATATTCCCAGTTATCCAGTTCTGCAAGCATGGCCCAACCAACTGCATCGTCCGCGGGCCAGCCCGCGGACAATTTCGATCTTCTGAATAGGGATATTCTGAAGCAGTTGGCCAGCATTACCTGGTAAACTAACAGTTTGCTATTGAAAATAGCCCATTGCTAGTTGATTTACCGAACTTAAAGATGGTGATTTTCCCAGTTCGCTTTTTGTAAACGTTTGCCAGGCCGAGTACCTAGCCAGTTCCTGATCTTCATGTTCCAGGATTCTCCCGATTTAGGGCGCAAAATTTCAAAGCCGGGCCGTTTCACATCCCATCGCAGGTGAGATTTACGTGACTGGTGAACTCCCCTGATGTACCGGGATGCCCTGCATGTTTTCAGCTGGTTGGTACCCATCGAAGGGTCGTCCAGCATTCATCTTGAATTCGATGTCCAAAATGCTGGGCCAATGGGAAATTGGCATATGGCCATGGAACCAAAAACACCAATCAGTGGAGGTTTAGTTCGTTGGGAACATCACCGATGATTTTCCAGCCATGTTTGACTACCGGAGGGTAGGCTGTCCAAAACATCGCTCCCCAACCAAGGGTCTTTTCTTCTTGCGCTTCTCGCTCAGCCTGCCAATGGGGTGACCCTCGAAAGTACACATTGCTCGAATTCCCATGTTCCAAATCGAATATGCATGGGTTTTGTTCAATGGGAATGTTCAATGGGGTTTCTGGATTTCTGGATTTCTGGATTTGTTCAATGTGTTTTCTTTGAATTCAAAAGATTGGGTCAACATGGTTCAACTACCAAAGGGTACTTTATACGATCTGGTTGGCAGTTTCGGAGGCTGAATCATGACATTTCCGGCACCACATTTTCGTCACTACTGTAGGGTCTTGGACCACCACATCTGTATTGACTAGCAAGATTGCTCTTCAAAACATGCCGCAGGAGGCCACATTCAGGGATCTGGCTAACTAGCCAATCAATCCCCAAATGGTCAAAAAACTCTAGGATTTATGCCCAGATTTTTTGGAAAATCACAGCTTCCAACCCCCCCAATTCAGGATAAGTTAAGCCCAAGGTTGTTTTGGGTGATTCCACAATAGTCCGCCCACCATCATGGCGACTATGAAAACCAAAGAGTTTCCCCACCACACGGCGGAAATGGCCTCCTTGTTGCCCAAGCGACCTTGCAACTTCTTCTTGTCCTTGTCCTTGTCGTCGTTCCTTAGCGACGTCGGATGCAGTGATCCATGCCTGATTCAGCTCATCTTCTGACATGTTTTCTACAACCAACTTACCATTCACCATATTCACATCCATTCACCAAGTTTCACCATGTTTAACCCAGTCAGTTGTTTAACCTACCGTACATCCGTAGGATTCCGTAGGTAGTTCCCCACCAGCATAGGCTTCACGGAAAGGCTGTAGCAGCGACATGCCAATAATGTCGAGTCTCTTTTCCACCTTGGAGACAAGACCAGACATGCGTTTGCCCGCCACGCCCCACGCTTTCGCCTTGGTTGAAGCACTTCCCCACCAACAAAAAACATTAACAATAGGAATTTCAGGATCCTAAAATAGAGGTATTATACCATGTGCATATGTATATGTATATATATATATATGTGTGTGTGTATTATTATATATAAAACCACATTTTCGGGATCTATCCCCTGAAATTTAGCCCTTACATAGGCCTTATATGATAGGTCCTGGTAGGTACCTCCAATTTAGGTTCCTGAAATGGCCATTGACATTGGGTTGGTTCGAAGGAACATCTGCAAGGCCTTTAGATTGCTTCAAGCGACATTTTTCCAAAAAAAAACTAATGAATTTGCTGGCAAAAACATGTAGAAACCATGTTTTACCCCCCTTGGATTTTCCCATCAGAACCAATCCATTGATACAATGGGGATGAGCTCAACACGACTCCCTTTCTTTATCAGGGTGCGGAGGGTCTCAGCCTGGTACTACTGCAAGTCTGTCCACGATGCTACACCACATACGATAAGCATGTCCACAGACTAAAAAATCTGTCCGATCCACATACCACATGTCTGTTAAACAGCGCTGCGCAGCAAATCATGGCAGAAATGGCTGTCAGGACAGCATCTAATTATATACAATAGTTTCCATTGGTATACCGGTATACCCATGGAAGTTGCTGCAAGATTTAAACGTGCCACTTTCAAGCTGTCATGCAAAACCCAAGCTAAACGCAAAAAGTACCGACTTACCCGAATTGCTTTCCCGCATGGAAATGAACCGTTCAATTGCAAACAGAACCGATTTCCACATCCACCTGTACATAGTTGTAAAACCATGGTTATAACCATCATAAGTTGGGATAGAATCCCTGTACCCGTACCCTCTGGCAATTTAACACAACAAAATTTAATATAACAATGGCAAATACCCACTTGTCCATGATTTGATTTACTGAACGTATTCAGCATAGCCATTTTACATAGCTATGTTAGGTTACGACAGGGGTCCACCTACTGAAACTGCCTCGCCAAGCACACCCAACTTTGAAAGGCCAAAACCTCTGCTGAAATCCCCTTTGACACTAGCATGTGTCCAATGCGGCTACACGCACATACGCAAATAATCAATTGTAGATGTTAGAGTGTCCGTCCATATCCAAAATAATCACATCCAACACATTTACACATCACTAGTGCCGCTATCTGGTTGGTGATTTGAAAGTTTTAACAACTCCCCCAGCCAGCTATGCGTCGCGTCGCTAGGATTTCTGCCATCTTCGCTTGATTCCGCCTGTCCTCCGGCCCGAAATGGAGTGATTTCTTTCATGTGCGTCTGACAATGGGAGATTTACCTGATTTAACCGCCCAAAATTGCGATTCTAAATCGTTATTTTATGCTCTCAAAAAATCATGATTCATGGGCTATTCAGTTACTTTTGGTTCAAGCGCATCCCAACCTTCATTGCTTAATAGTACAGTAATCACTTGATCACCATCTGGGGTATAGTTGTAGTTCAATGGTTCAATTCACTTGCCCTTCACCAAAGGCTTACCATCGCTTTGCAGGGAAAAAAACAGATCGAGATCGTTGGATGATATACCCACTGCTTGCCTGTGAAGTCCCCATGGCCAACCTTAGATACTCTGCACAAAATAGATAGAGAGGTCAATATAAAATATCAATCATCAAACTATAGTTAATATCAACATATAGTTTCGATAGTTTACCCAATGAATTGTACCGTTTAAACCTCCAATCCCGACCCATCCAGCTGACCCAGGTAACCCACCAATCAAAATCTCTTTAAAACACCAATGAAGTCCCCATCTTTGAGGCTTTCAATCATGCTCATTCCTACTTCGTGTTGTTTTTTTCTTGGTTAAATCAGTTAAATCACCATTTTGGTTGGTTCCCCTCTGGTAAGACATACAAAAGCTATGGAAATTCACCATTAAGAGCTAAATCAACAAACTAAATGATCTAAATGGCCATGTTCAATAGCAAACTATTAAATTAGGGCCTAGCCTCACTTGCGCCCATCAAAACGAATCACTTGCGCCCACCTTCATGTGTACCTATCTTCATGTACATAAACAACTTTTTAGGGTTTATCTGTTTAGGGGGCATGGGGGGGACTTGGGGTTAGGGGGGGACTTGGGGACTTGGAGACGGGGAGTAGGTATCAAAATGCACATCAACAACCATTTAGGGTTTATCTTTTTAGGGGACATAGGGTGGACCTGGGGTTAGGGGGGGACTTGGGGACAGGAGAAGGGGAGTAGGTATCAACATGTACATAAACAACCATTTAGGGTCTATCTTTTTAGGGGACACGGGGTGGACTTGGGATTAGGGGGGGACTTGGGGACAAGGAGAAGGGGAGTAGGTATCAACATCTACCTGCGTCAAATGACTAAAAGGGGCTGCGCAGGCACAAGCGAGACAAATCCGCGGGCACAAGCGAGGCCGTATCCATTAAATTACCCTAGGGTAAATCATCATAAAAAAATCACATTTTTTCGTGGTTAAATATGATTAAATCACCTTTTGGTTGGCGAAATCGGCGAAATCTCACCTCCTCATCCTTGAGCTGTTGTTCATGGTCTGTCTGCTCCATACGAAGCTTGGCCTTGGCGAAGCTAAGGCGGAGGATTTCACGAGAAGAAACAACGGGATTCAACCCATAAAACCCGCAAAAATGGAGATTTAACATATTTAATCCTGCCCCTTGACCCACCAAACTCGAGATTTAAACAACAAAAATAGAGATTTGACCCACTCGGTTGAGATTTGACCCACTAGATTGAGATTTGACCAAACAAAGAAATGAAGATTTAAACTACAAAAATTGGGATTTAACTAACAAAGACAGATTGACATCAAAACAATACTTCTCAACAACAATATCATCTCCTTGGTAGAGTTGAGCGTTGGGGAACCCAAACATTTTGCATTGCCAAACAAACTGCCTAGTTGAAAACGAATACATGTTATGTATTCATGATGCATGGAAAGCTGTCTGGGAATGGAGATGGATAATGATGGATATGATTTCTAGTTTTGAATTGATTCTAAGTTGACTTCCCGCAGAAAAACTCGGTGATTCTACTCAGGGGGGGGAAACATTGTCTTTTATTGTGGTTCCGAGGTGCTACCCGGTGCTACCCCCTTGAAGTGTGGTTTTCTTTTTTGCATATTTCAATGAGATTAATAAAGAAATTGATCAATTCAGTCCTTTGGGGACTTTGAGATTTCAGGCCAAGGTGACTTGGTATCTTTGGCAAAGGTAGGAAGCACAACCACCAAACTCCATAACAGGTTGTCGTATTTCATAGTTGGGTGGGTATATATTCATCTGCACTGGGAGTTGACATAATTATACTTTATTGCAGCGGACTGATTAAGCTGATGTTAACATGAACCATTAAAATTGTGGATTACACTATTAAAGCAAGAACAATTGAGATTGACCCGACAGCAATCATGTTACCTTGGTTTAAGGGACATGTTGCGGTTGAAGCCATTGTTTTTTCTATCACACACTGGGCTCCTGCAAATTTTCCGATGGTTTGTTGGTGTAGTTTCATCCACCTAACTGATTAATACTATTCATCACCATAAACCCAACTTAGTATTAGTTTACCTGGTTTACCTACTCAAGTTTAAAGTCCAACCAACTGATTACATAGTTAATCGAAAACCAACAAAATCATCAATGTTTACTCTGTATGTATGTGTAAACATATATATATATATATATATATATGCATGCATATAAAATCGTACACATATGCGTAATTACACATGCATACACCAATTTTTGTGGGCCATTTCAACCAACTCAGCTTAACTCTAGCCCAGAACCCGAGGCGGGACCGTTTAACAACCGCGGAGCAATCCGCTCCATCTGTGTGCGCGAATCTTCCGGCTGCCCATCCTTTCCGACTGCCAGCGAAGCCCTGCCATGGATGGACAGTGGCTCTTCTCCATATGATCAAGGATCAATATTATACCGATTGTACACCTATATTATACACCGGAGAACATGTGTATCATATGACTACGTTTCTTTTCTACTGGCATTTATACGTCCATCAATGTCTATCATATGCACTGAAATAACTCTATAGCAGCTAAACAGGAAGTCAAATGCAAACAGACCTCTAGATAAAACCAGTCCAGACCAGGTGCAGAAGCCTCTCCATCTCCCATTTGACCCTATTCGCTTCAGCATGTTTATTGTTTTTGTTTCTACGTCACAGCTCCAAGGTAAATAAATAACACCCCGCTTAAGTCAAACATGTCGATTACTTCAATCCCCATATCCATCCTGGAAATCCATCCTTTTTTTTGCTTGGGTCACCCGGTGAGTTGCCGAAATCCATGAACTTTCGGCCATGGGATCATCATTGGAGTATTTTCCGAGCGATAAACCGTCATAAATGATCCTCTCATAATGTTTACACGAAAAGCTTCGTTGAGATCATTTAGGCCACGGGGATTGCCCAGCCGTGGCCATGATGACAACCACCGGATGACAATTCTAAGTTCCATCGGCAGGAATAAACCCAGACCCTATGGCTTGTCACACGTAGATTCTTAGATATTCTTAGGTGGTTAGTATATGTAATTCCGTGCGCGTGGCATAAAACAAATAATGTACCAACTAATAAATAATAACATATTATATAATTATAACATTATCCCATCATATCTATGTTATAATTATAATGAATTAATGTTATAACAAATTTATAACAAATATGTGCTTAAAACGGTCCAAAAAGTAAATCATATCCGCTACGGCTTCCTCAAGTGGTGGATGTCCATTTTGTGGATGTCCATTGGGAAAGTAAACAAAGAATGACAACCCAAATTAACCATGTTTGTTGGTTAAATCCACCCTGCCACCCTGTACACTCAGAGAAAATGACTAACATAGCTACAGAGAAAATATGCCAGTGCCTATAGATGATTAATTTACCTATTATCATTATTATACAAACATGGTGATGTGTTTTAATAGCTATCTTAGCTATCTTAGATCGAAAATTTGAGGTTCAATCATGTGAAATCCGCAATTTTTCCAGAATTTCCAGCCGCCAGCTGATGCTAAAGTTTCCTCAGGAATTCCACGACTTTTTTGTTGGTTTAATGATGTTTAATGCCTATGTTTGTTGCTAAACTCCGTCCCAATGGAAATCCAATGTCCCACTCCGAAAGTCCGGCGGCCTTCTGGCAGATCGGCTACCACCAGTGGTGGCAGCACTGGTCATCCTCGGCGGTAATCCAAAATGGAGATTGAACCAGCAACAGAAATGGAGATTTGACCCCAAAAAATGGAGATTGAACCAGCAAAAACTGAGATCTAAGAGTGATCTAGTCATTCAAATGATGTTCAATGGATTGATTTGAGGGAATTTTCGAGATAATTATATTACCATAGAATCCAGACGCATCCTGCAAATTTCCCCTTCAACCTGTCCTGAGGCTTAAAATGATACGCCTCTCTATGGTTGTCTTTGCTTTCGCTAATGGACAACCCCTGTTGAGGCCTAGCGAAAACCTTGATGAATGTATAACTTGTGTTAACTGCCCAATGAAATCAAGAGGAAATGGGTTCTGAACCGGTCCCCATCTAGTAACTAGTAGGGATATCATTCTAATTCTACTAAATGGGGTTAAGCTTAGTAGGTTTGATATTTAACACTGGTTGACTCTACTAAATGACATTCTACTAACAGGTTGAATATCATAACAATCTTGCATTTCTCCTCGCCCCTGTGCTCCTCCAATTTTCTGGTTAAGCTTAAGCAAGAATACATGTTTGAATCGACAACAAAAGCTGACATACTCCACGGTAATCAAGACATGGCAATCCTACCAATATCTTGACATCTCGTGCGTTTTTTTGGGCGCAAAGAACAATGACAATCCGCGGAACAAAACGGTTCAAGTGAAGCCAAACAAAAGTCATTTGGCCGCAACCAAACCTGGCATTTGAAAATGACATCATGTTTTCTCCTATAGCAACACCCCCACGAATGGAAATTGTGCGGAAACATTACCTATGAATATCTATGACATCTTGCAAAAACTGTTCTATAAATATATATATATATATGTGTGTGTTTTGAGTGCCCTATAGATTTATAGAAGATATTCTGACGTCCATAGATTACCAGATTACCAGCAACTACCATTCCGAATGAGCGTTCGTCCACTTAGTGGGATGATCCCTGAAGTCAGTAGCTTTCCAAGTAGGTTATAATTATATTGCGACATGTGTGAAAAAATTGCACATCATAGTCATATATTATATATATATACAAATTATCGTGACTGGAATATTCGATGTGATGTACTGAGCGTACGAATTCTGAAATTGTCCATTGCAAACCATTTCCGAAGTTTTCGGAATCATCCCAGTATCATCGGCATCCTTCTTTCTGGAGATAATTAATGAAATAAGATAGACATAGATAAAATAAGCATAATTCTTGGAGTTCCCCCCATGGACCACCCTCCAGTATATAAATTAACATAGGCCCTGCCAGATAAAGGTTGGAAAATTAATTTCCACCCAAAATTGGTGATTTTCTGGGTCTATCTATATAAATGATCATATTTCACTGACATGAAATAAGGCCTCACATGGGGAGGATTCCAGGGTAAAATGTCACGGCGTGAGGTCATGATTCATGTCCCAGGTCTCCAGGCCTGGATTGTTTACCCTCTGGTAATGACTAACAGTTTGCTATTGAAGCCATGGCCATAGAAATAGTGGATTTACCCATTGAAAACGGTGATTTTCCATAGTTATGTAAACGTTTACCAGAGGGTATATCCTATTAAATCCCATTAAATCCCATTAAACCACCATTTTTCCTACGGTTTTCCTATGGTTTTTGACATCCCAAGACATCCATGGTTTCCTACCATCCCTGGCCGAAGGTGTCACCTTCGGCCGGTACGAGGCACAGCATGGAGCCGTTTCTGGTCATGAAGGATGGCTCTCGGGACTCGGGGTCCAAACGGCTAGCAGCCCTGACGGTCGGGAAAAGAAATGGAGTCCCCAACAAATGGGATGGTGAACCGGAGTCCCATATGGGATGGTGATAATCCCAAACATATTGGTTAATAATGGTTACCATCTGGTTATGACTGACATAGCCATGGAAATCACCATATTTAATAGGTAAACCATCTATAAATGGGCCATCTATACCATGGCTATGTTAAATAACCAGAGGGTAATAATAGTGGCCAATAGTAAGATAATAATGGGATAATAATGGTTAATGATGGGATAACCATTGGTTAATAATTGTTGATAATTGTTACTAATTGTGAATAACTGTTAATATCAATATTTGTGGATTATAATGGGATAATATTGGATTATAATGGGATAATAATAGTGCGTTAATATTGGGATAACAAGTGATTTGCATTTTTTTCCATCTTACTGGCGCTTAATTGTAGGGAACGGGCCCGGGGGAATGTATGGGAATGGGATGATTGTGAAAGTAGTTACAGTATGGACCTATGGATTTGGATCATGAAACCCCATTCCCTACGTTTAGCATCAGTGAGAAGTGCCTTCGAAATAATGTTCAATCTTTGTTGGATTTTAAGTTATGAACATGTTCCCCACATTTTTGCTCATTGTTGGAACTTGGATAAATTATTGCCTCATTTTCTATGCATGTTTGTTGATGATTGTTTTACATATGTTCTGGCGGGTTCAACCTCATTGCCATATCAAATGCGCCTCAAATGGCAGGTACACAGCTTGGTCAAAATCATCAGCAAATCCAAGAAGTTGGGTGGATCATCACACCAAGATGAAACAAGACGAAGGTTTCCCATACAAACATCTTGCGGCAGAATGCCCTCGAGATCTGGGATGAATGAAAAAATAATTCACTCATCTGAAGTAAGACATATTAAGACCAGTTGGGGTTGATTACCATATATTGCCATCATTCCAGTGACGTCTGAGATGGTTTATGATGGTTTCGATGGCACTGCACAACCGCCAGTGAGAAAATTTCCACTATCACTCCTGGCTCGCTGAACTCTCGAGTTGCCGCTTCAGCTGTCTTTTATCATGTGACGCCACATGGGAAAGTGACCACAATTCCTATTATTTCTTTGGCACTGGGACTCCCAAGATCTAAAGCATGTCTTGGCGAGTTGTTGCTACTCCCCATGTCAACCAGGCCCCCAGGCGATGTCAAAGATTTACCTCGGCGGCTTAGATACCCAGTTCCGAACCAGGCTTTCTAGGGCAGATTGAATAGGAGAAGAGATCAGATTGGAACACCCAAACGCATCGGAAAGTTGCGAATCTGGAAGCTACATGAAAAGGTCATCTGTAAACTCTTGGAATAGTTTCTATTTACTTGGGGGCACCACTAATTTATACTTAGATATAACATGATATAACTATGTTCAGATGAACTGAGATGTATTTAATAGTTAGTGGCATTTTCCCATGGTTGTGAAAAATGCAGGGTGCCTCTCGATCAATCAACCAACCAGTGCAACAAAGAACATCTGTGTGCTTTAAACTATTCTTGTTGGTTGAATGTGTTTTTGGTTGTTGACTAGTAAACACCCAAATATTTAGTTACTATAGACTATAGGATAATTTGTGGTATCGGGCTTAACACTATTAATTGTGAGATCCCTCCAACTAACATAAATGGCTGGAAGAAAGTTGTGTTCCAACACCCTATTTGGCGGAGTCATGTTAGCTGAAAGAAGGGTAAATCTCCCATTTCTGTTGGTAGTTGGTTTATAAACCCCATGAACTAGTTTGATATATCTACGGAAAACTATAGTTAAACCATTGAACTAAACCAACTTGACAAACTACATTATATGAAACCCATTCTATAATTGGTTCAGCCATTAAATTGCATTAAACTGATATTAATAAGTGATTTAAAGAACCATTAGATCCAACAAGCAACCCACTAAACCACATCGAGACCACTAACAAGTGATTTAAAAAACGTCAATTATAAAACCAAACAAGAAACACACTAAATATCACTAAATCACATCAAACCCATTAATCATGTTAACCATTGATTTAGAAAAAACAACGAAAAACATTGAACCCCCACGAAATCCCCATGTTTCGCTTCCCTGGCGGGGCTCCAATGATCATGCTGCGCGAGACCGAGGCGAAGGACAGGGACTCTCCGGGCTCGGAGGGTTCCACTAACTGGGCAGGGACGAGCGGTGAACGGGAGTCCCATATGGGATGGTGATAATGGTTACCATAATGGTTACCATCTGGTTATAATGGTTAATAATGGTTCATAATGGTTCATAACATAATGGTTCATTAAAAAAAAAATGGTTCATAATGGTTACCATCTGGTTATGACTGACATAGCCATGGAAAGATCCACCATCTTTAAGAACGGTAAACCATCTATTTCGATTAGGGCCATCTATACCATGGCTATGTTAAATAACCAGAGGGTAATAATAGTGGCCAATAATAGGATAATAATGGGATAATAATGGTTAATGATGGGATAACCATTGGTCAATAATGGTTAATGAGGTAAAGCCATGTAAGGCCAATGCCACAAACTATCTCAAAAATGTGATCCCCAACATATTGGTTGGTACAATCGCCTATAATCATCAACTTACGGTGTTGAACACTGCTCAATTCAGCTAAAATTTGGATGATTTCGTCAGAAAAAACCAAGTAAAACTTGGATGGTCTGTAGAAACATGATGTGAATATGATGAATTTCACCGGTTGAAGCTGAGATTTACACACGAAGAAAAATGGATAAAAAATCACTCAACCAACCACAATGGCCATGAAAATGATGCATTTCAAAAAGCCAGTGCCCTTTTTTCACCATGGAAAAATGATGGTTTAAAAACCAAAACTGGATGGATTTTAATCAAGAAAGATGGGGCCCACATGTGTTTGGAAGAAAATGTCTGTTGTGTTTTGCGGACAATGAAATCCAAAAGACTGTGCCTGAGAAGACCTGAACATCCTGCAACAAGTGTGTGTGTGTGTGTGTGGTGGTTGTGGTTGTGGTTGTGTGCATTCTTATGTGTATATATATATAGTTATTATATGTTATTATAGTATTTACATTCCATCCAACTTTCCAACATCTTGGGAGATCAACAACTCCTTGATTATCATGGCTCAAATTTGACCCCATCACGGCCGATCTTGGGATACACTGATCCTTTTCTTTTTTACACTGGATCACTGGTTTGATCTGGTTTGTACATATCCCATGTATGACAAATGACAAAAGATTGAGTTGCATCAAACTATACCTTTCACTTTCACCAAGGCTACCCAAATATGGATATGAAAGGCCATGAAATTGACAACCGCCGACCAAATCCTGTTGATATTTGCTGATATTGCTTAAATTTCTCCATGTTGATGGATACTGCATCCCCCTAGGTCTAAAATTTAGGCAGCAATTTTCCACATTGGCAAATCTGGGTAAATTATAATAATTCACTAACCTGAAAAATTCGGCCAGCTATGGGAATGATTCCCCGAATCCAATTCCCATGATTCCAGGAGAACCGGGAGAACAGGCTTCGGTCGTGATCAAATTTGCGGCAAATGGTTCCCCTTGTAGCTCTAACAAAACCATGGCAGTCACTGGGCAGTAGTTTCATCCCCATCCACCAAGAACACCGAAAGTCTGATCCTGGCCACGTCACCGAAACTCTGCTGCTTGCGCTATGGAGCACCGCACCCGCAGGCCGCTGGTTTTCCGACATCGCCTGCGATGTGAAAAATGGATTGATTGGAACTATGGGAACCATGGCTGATAGATCTCCCGCCAAAAATAAGTATAGCTGGGTTCTGGGTAGTATGATGTACCTAGAAAAAGATGTACCCCCGTTGCTTTTTGTTTTTTTAACTGAACCAAGGTTTTGGCAGGAAATTGGGCCGCCTGAGTCACCCATCAAAACCCATGGATCTGATCCCGGGGATGAACCTGTTTGACAGCTGTGCCGCGAACGCAGTGCCTAGCTCAAAAAACCCCATTCGTCCACCCTTCAAAAAAACAAGTTGAAATACATAACAAAGATTAACAAAGTATATACACATTATATAAACCAACATAAGCCAATCACCGGTTGGGAGATATTTCATGAGATTTGCCCTCATCGACCCGACTCAAGACGACTCGCGGCTCGCCCCACTTTTTTGGCCCCGCATCTTGGGACAGAAAGTCCGACCAAAGGGTTCTCTCGCCCAGAACCTTATGCAGGCCAGGAAGGTCGAAGAACACCTCAGACGCCAGTCCGCCAATTCTGCCAGATCACCGAGGCATGATGAAAACTGGTTCTTTGATGTTCTTTGATATTCAAAGGCGATGCATATAAATAAACAATGGAAACCACCTGGAACCATCCAAAATATTTTCAACAAAATTGGATCAAGCCGGCGTACATATCTATGTGAAAATGATGTATGCAATTTGCACAAAACAACCAATGGAGAGTGCATTAGTGGGTTTACCACTACAGCCACTATATGAATAAACCTCCCATATGGTCAATTAATGCTAATTATAATCCCATAAATTATCATATATATTATAAATGATCATATTCGATTATTGCTGGGTTTGTCACACTATCAGCATTATTCACCAGTTACAAGTAGTATTAGTCCATCATTACCATCTGGTAATTTAACTATAGCTATCAAAAATACCCCATAGAAATAGTTGATTTACCTATTCAACATGGTGATGTTCAGTAGTTTTTTGATCTTTTTGTATGTCTACCAGAGGGTTCCACCATTATTAACCCACCATCTGCCGTGGCATAACGCACCGTCTCGCACCTCTTGGCACGTCTCGCGGCCGGCGTCCTCGTGATCCTCGTGGTCGTCCAACGCAGGCGCGGCTCCCAGCCGGAAGTAGACCATGACTCTCACGCCGCTGCAAACGTAGCGCGGTGCCACCTGGTTTGACATGGAACTAGACGACGGATGGCCCGAGAGCGTAGAGGAGCAGGGTCTTCTCTTGTTAGTATGGAGACGCAATATTAGAAACGATATATGAAAGCTGTGTTATAGGCAGTCGAGAAGAGGAGTATCAAGACAAAATAGTGAGAAGTGCAAGTGAATAGTTTGCATCGCAAACACTTTTACACACAGACGCTTTTACACAGACGCTTTTACACACAAAGCTTTTACCCACAGAAGCTTTTACACACAGAAGGTTTTACCCACAGAAGCTTTTACACACAGAAGCTTTTACATACAGAAGCCTTTACACACAGAAGCTTTTACATACAGAAGCTTTTACACACAAACGCTTCTACACAGACACTTTTACACACAGAAGCCTTTACACACAGGAGCTGCTTTTACACACAAACGCTTGTACACACAGAAGCTTTTACACATAGACGCTTTTACACACAGGCACTTGTACACACAAACACTTTTACACAAACACTTTTACACACAAACGCTTTTACACGCAGACGCTTTTACACACAGAAGCTTTTACATACAGAAGCTTTTACACACAGAAGCTTTTACATACAAACACTTTGACACACAGACGCTTTTACACACAAACGCTTGTAGTCACTTCACGCTCACTCTTTTTTGCCGCCAAGACTCAGGCATTGTAAGAGACCTTTCGTCTCGCCTTTTCAAGTAAGTCATTGCTTAGCAATCTTACATGTTTATTTGTCTCATGGTAGAGACTTTTTCCAACTTTGTCAACTTTCAAACAAACCCTTTCATGGTAGAAAGGAAAAAGTTCCCCTGGTAGGGATGCTCACCATGTCCACATCCGCACGGTGAGAGAAACCAGCGACGTTTCTTCCAGTCCCCCCAAGCTGGGAAGGGACAGGGAGGGAGAGCTTGGGCCTGAAATAGCCCCATGTCGGCGACAATCGTGAGGTGGTTCCCACAAAATGTTCAAAGAACTTTCTTGTAGTCACTTCACGCTCACTCTTTTTTGCCGCCAAGACTCAGGCATTGTAAGAGACCTTTCGTCTCGCCTTTTCAAGTAAGTCATTGCTTAGCAATCTTACATGTTTATTTGTCTCATGGTAGAGACTTTTTCCAACTTTGTCAACTTTCAAACAAACCCTTTCATGGTAGAAAGGAAAAAGTTCCCCTGGTAGGGATGCTCACCATGTCCACATCCGCACGGTGAGAGAAACCAGCGACGTTTCTTCCATGCACCCCAGCCTGCGTCCGCGCAGAAAGGATTTTCTGCGCATGGAATCAAAATTTAAATTGTTGAAGAAATTGTCTTGTATATGCTGACAGCTTAATTTCTGGTAGGTGACTCAAGGCGTCACTGATGTACAAGCGGGCTACTCTGCTGGATTCCCAGCGTCCACGAATCAATGCCCCCTCCATGGAGCGAGTTTGCTGAAAGTAGTGAGTCGCACCACCACGCCGTAAAGAATAGGGTCTAAAGCTGAATTGTTCAAGTTGCATTAGATTGCACAACTCTTTGAAACGCGTCCGAAATTGACTCGCGGTCCCTGACCAGAGTGGTAAAATGTGTAAGTTTTGTACCCTTCGGGTCTCAACCAACGTACGAATTACTTCCAAAACAAGCACATCTGTAATTGAAATTGCTTCGTCAGCATTGTGTCGAAGTCCAGTCTTAGTCCCTTTAAGGGATATGATGCCACAGGTTTCCCCTAAAGAAAAATCGTCAGACGTAACCTGCAGCAACTCTCCAGTTCGCAACATGCAGTGAAACGCAAGTAACAAAAGGCCACCCATTTCAAAGTTGTCACGGCTCCATTCATAAGCCGCCATGGCCTTAACCAGCGCCCATGTCAAAGGAGGCGCGCGGCTCGGCACTTCAATGCGGCGCCAAATGCTGAACAGTTTCCATGCCGCAGGCAGCTTGCGGCGTGTCCAAGGTTGATAAAAATGGAGGGCACTTAAGCCATCCCCTATTGTCAGCAAAGGCTCGCCGTCACGCCACATGCGGCGTACCCAACGGGATACAGAAGTGTCAAGTTGATCTTCTGTAGAGGCTTTCTCAACATAGGGCAACAACTTGCGGAGTGCCAGATAGTAACGGGAAAGAGTTTTTGGTGTCAAAGCAGCGTCATCGAGAAAGATCTTTGCTCTCTGTCGAATACGTTCTTCCCTAGAGAAACGGCCAGCAATCAACCTTGGAGTCCTACGTTCTCGACCCCTCATCTGAGGGATTCTCTGTCGACTCGACATGTCCCATGATCATGTGCAACCCAAACGCAAGCAAGTGAGCAGAAATTTGGTTCAAAGTACGAGTAAGCTGTTTGCTACTTGTCCTTCCCTTGGAAACTATGCTCATCCCTACATAAGAGTCAGTTAATTGAAAGATGCGCTGGTCAACTGCTTTCAAACGGCTGATCTGAAACTTGAGCCCTAACAAAATGGTTTCAAGTTCAAGCACATTGATATGGGATTTGTGAGCCCAACGCTTTCGAAAACCATGCTGCCAATCCCACCAACACGCTGCCACTGACTGTCTTGGGAAAGTCCGACTGTTCATTGCTTCACCTGTTACTACTCTAATGTCGGTTCCAGTGTGATTTGTCTTCCTAAGCAAGTATGTATTGAGAAGCTGAATACCCTTTTGAAAATATGATGGAAGTTCCGAAGCTGACCCATACCGTAAACAACGTTGTAAAGGGGCAACCCTTCGCAGATTACATCTAAAACCAGGTGCCAACCCCATCCTTCGTACCAAATGTTGATACGCGACCTTTGGGATCCATTGTTTGACCAAAGCTGCAGCAATAATGATGAATGAGTACATACTGAATGAATCACCCAGAAGTCTATGCCTTGTATCTGAAAAACCAAGGGGGTTTTGTTTGATCTTCGATGCGCTCCATGCCAAAGCCGTGTGCTTGTACCCATAACCCAACAGCAATTCTTTCTCTTCTGCATTAAGTAACCTCCAGGAAGTTTCTGAACAAATAATAAACTGAGCTTGGTATTGGTAGGGGGGATAACGGTAACTGTCCTCCTGCCACCGCTTCTTCGTAGCTGTGTCGCACTTGCTCAGCCCCGCTGGTCTGGGCGGTGGCTGTGTTCTCGGGATGGATTTTAAGCATGTTGGGAAGACAGCTCCGGTCTTCCCCCCTTCCCAAACATATCCAGGAGTAAGCCACTGTTGCTGCTCAGGGTATGGTGCCGGTGCCGAAACCTCTTTCCAATATCGTTTATTTGTGACCGAGACGTCAGGAAACTGGCCCTCTAAAACTTCTGATGTCCAGCAAAATCTTGGTCTCCTCATGGGGACTGCATCAACGGGGTCCAACCTGTAGGGCGCTGCCTCCATAAACGAAGAAATCTGATGAGCTGCACTTTCGTCCATTGAAGCCACATTTTCCAAGACGTGTTTCAGCACGACAGTGGTCCCAAATTCCTCTGCTAGAAGATCTTTTATCCTCAGGATTTCCCAGAAAAGTGAGCTATGTTCGCCCTCCAAGTTTTTGCGGCCATATTTAACCGCTGACAGATCCACGCAGGGCCAACCCGCCCAGAGGTGTATTTCGGCTACTTTCAAGTATTTCAAGCTCCATTGGCGCACCATAGCTCTGTCAATTGATCTCACATCCTTCACCAGCGTCACCCCTGGCCATCTTCTAGTTGTAACTCTGTTTGCCGCGTCGTCCAGTTCCACTGCAATGCGACCTGCTGGTTCCACCCCTAATAGGTCGTAAGCACGGAATGCTCCTCCGATCCCGTTAAACAGGCTGATCAACAAAAGTTCTGCTGGAGTGTCTTTGATGTCTGCCTTCTTGGATTCCACTCCACCAAGGAAGTCACGACCTTCTGCCGTGAGTTCATGAGCAACCTCAATCGATCCTGCTTTCTCAGAGGCATCCGTACAAATAAGGTGTTCACTGATAGAAGCCCCCAGGTTGCAATGTAAAACTGGCGCCATGCACACCAGTGCCAAAAACTCAGCTTTAACCGCACAACGCAAACTTGAAGTAATTGCCCCCGAGCTGCTAATGAATTTCCATGTTTGTTGTAAGAAACTCATCCCAGGCCGCCGGAACTGCAAAATAAAAACCCAGCGCCCTGCCAAAATCTGAACATGCTTTCTTGAGAGATATGATTGACAAAGCATCCACCAGGTAGATTGTATTACCTTTACCAGTTTTTCAGTGCTTACCCCCAGTGTTTTTGATGACCCGTTCACTTCAGCTCCTAATTCAACTGCAGTGTCTGCTCCAGAAACCCGCTTCTTATCTGACGAAATCACACCAGCCTGCGCCCAAGCCCGTTCCGCTAAGTCATGGCAAAGTTGGCTGTCGAACCCTGGTCCTCCTTGCCGAACTCGTTCTCCCCCTGCATAGTTGTCTAAATACACATGCCACCAGCTACGCCCTTCAGATTTAGCAGTTTCCAAAACATCATTCAACCAAGGGGGTATGTCCCTACCCCGTGCAATCTGTTGAGAAGGGCAAAGTCCTTGATGCAGCAGCAAGTTTTCTGAAGCTTCTTGCATGATACCTACGCTGTTCAACCAACCCATCGGTATCACTGAACAACACAAAGCGTAACATACGCCAACTTGTCCCCCTATGTCTTCTCCTTGAGCAAGAACATTGAACGCTAAGTATGGTTTCCATTGGGCAGGGAGACGGAAAAGATAGAACGCTGAAGACATGTCAGATTGATGGATTTTAACTTCTTCCCCCGGGCAAATAACCAAGCTCTGCCATGAAGTGATGTTTGGGAGTCCCATGCAACCCCCTTCCAACTGATGTTGTGTTGAGTTTGATCCAGTTAAGTTCATAATAAGTCGAAGAACCGGTCGTCCGTCCTCCAAGACTGCGTGTTTTGTTACCCCAAAAAGACCGTTTAACACGGGGGTACCTTTGACCTTTTGAACTTTGTTCAGTGGAACCCAGTCACAAACGTTACGAACCACCAGCTCCTCAGCGATCTTCATCAAATCACCCTTTTTGACGTGAACCTTTCCCGGGAGTTTAGGGAGTTCAATGTCCTTGTCATCTTTGATCAGCCACTCTGGATGCAATAAAAACTCCCTGGTTCTAGGGCAAACCCATAACAAACAATCAACACAACCCCCATGTGCACGTGGTGGCAACGCTGGCGCCACCTGATCCCATGTCAACTCATGGCATATTGACTGTTCTTCACCCCCATAGCCAACCCGACGGCTGCCCATATCTTTTTGCCAGCCAACTTCCGAAGTCGGGTAAGCCACGTTGAAGTTGCTACGTCGCTGCACTGCATCATCCAAAGACGCAACAGCGCGGCGTTCAAGCAACGTCCATCGACCTGCTTCTGGTCGCGCCCGTTTACCAGCCAAACGGTTTAAGGCGCACACCATCACGTAGACCCATGCCGTACGTGACCATGTATCCGCTATGGCAGCATCGGTGCATTCCACCAGCGCCATTCCAGCGAAGACCTGAACGATCGACTGTAGCTCTCCCTCCTTTATAGGAAAAACCAATCCCCTTTTCTTGTCGGGGCTTGGTTTGGTCTTGGCAGTTGTATCTGACCACAAAGCCATGAATTCTTTTGTGACCATGTCAAACTGGGGCAAGTTCACACCGGCTATTGCAAGCCAAGCCAAAGCACAACCCAACTGAGCAAAGGTCGTGCACGAATGCCCAAGCTGTTTCAAATGAGCCAGTTGTAAACCCACTGTATCGCCTCCAGTTCCACTTTCTTGCAGCCCGGCTGAAGCCAGCGCAACCTCATCCACTTGCACTCTCCTCACTTTTCGGGAATTCTCTCCTTGGGCTTTCCCTCCGTTTCTTTTTCGGTTGAGCCCCAAGTCTTCCCTTTTCCTTTTCCTTTGGGCCCCTTCTTGCCCTTTCCTTTGTTGCTGTTGTTGTTGGGTGCTTCTGTCCATGTATCTCCTCGTCCTCGGCCTCCTTTTGACTTGCCTCCTGATTGCCAAGTCCACGCCTCTCCGGGCGCCACGCGCGCCGCCAGCCGCGCATGTTTCTTGGCTGCTAGGACTATAGCCGGCCCTGCTGCTGAACCTTCTTCCAACGGGCGAAGCTCCAGGTGGCGGGCTGTGCTCCACGACCCGTCTAGAACACTTTGATGTATGCTCATGAAACGTCCTGCTAAAACGTCTCCCAAAGTGTCCAAGCTTCCACCCTTGAGAAGGTCTATGGCTTGCGCCAAGTGATGCAGCTCTCGAGCCTGTCCCATGGCGCCCCCCACTTGGGGTCGCACTACGATGGCGAAGTAGCTGCCCATGCGAACTCCACTGCTCAACGTAAGGGTCTCCTCGCTGCCAACTCCTACCTTTGCATTTTGATCCAACTGAGACCTCGCATGTTCCAGCAGCATAGCCAGCACACTGCCCGGCTTGCGCTTCGACTTGCGGGTCAGCGGCGGATCCATCTTGTGCTTGGAGCTTGAACTCGAAGAAGCATCGTCGTAGTCTTTCTCTGAACTCGTGGTCCGAGAGCTCCCCCCATCTGGACTCGGGCTCTCGTCTGTCCCTTTCTTCTTCCTCCTCTTCTTGTCTTTCTTCTTTTTCTTCTTGGACCCCTCTTGCGAGTCGGTTGAAGCCTCTGATCTGTTGTTCTTCTTCTTTCCCATGGCCAGCGCAAGGATCTTGGCAAGTTGATGCGCTGGGGTCTTCTTCTGATGACGTCTCTTCTCCTTCCGATCCTTCTGTTCCTTCTCTTTCGCATTCTCTGCCGCGACTTGGATCAATTGGCTCTGCAAGTTCTTCGTAGTATTTCCTCTTATATCCTCCAGAGCTGGAAGGTCTGCCCCTCTGGCGCCCTTTCCAGAATCGTTGGGCTCTCTCACCCTTCGTCTCTTCTTCTTGGCAATATCTTTTGCCCTTGTCTCGGGCTCTCTCTTCTTCTTCTTGTTGGGGGCGCCCTCTGGCCCTATATCCTCCTTCACCTGAAGGTCGTCCCCCCAAGGTTCGGAGGCTGAATATCCTGGCGAGGATGACTCCACGGCAAGGGCTTCCGCATAAGTCCCGGGCTCGGCCGCGTGGCCAGCGGGAGTCCCAGCCCCACGATCCAACATCTTTGCCCTGGCTGCCTCCAGCCGCTGTCGTAACATGTGCCTCTCTTTCTCCTCCATAGGTTTCTTTGAGCGTTCTTTCTTTGGCCGCTCCCCCAAACGGGGGGCTCCTGCGGGGACCGCGTCGGCTTTCGGCGTCGGCCTGATTCGAGGATCGACTGCACCAGGCCCCTCTGCCTCTTTGTCTGCGTCGTCGGGGCCATCTCGACGGGGAGGATCCCCAGAGATGTCCACCCCGTCTCCCTCGTCTGAAAGCTCCTCTTCTTCCCACTTGCTGATTTGCCGCTTGATGTAGCTGCCCATGTAGGGTCGCGCAAAGGCGCCCGTTGTGAAAACCCTGAGGCGGGTGACGTGCATGCTGTAATCCTCGGTCACCACACAAGGAGTTGTTGTGCAGAGATGAATGGTGCCTTTCTTTCTGTTGAATTGGTTTGAGAAGTACTTGGCCCAATCTGGATCGCTGCAACCCAAGCTTTTCACCACCACCATGTATTCTCCTGTGGCCTGAATCAAGGCACGTTTCACCCAGAAACCGGACCACAGGTCTCCGGTGCATCCACAATCTGTACTGGGTAGATGCACTTCCAACACATCTCCACGGTTCAATGCCAGAGATTCCCATTCTACTGCCCGTTCAATGTTGTATTCTTTACCTTCTTCCACCAGCATCCCCACGCCGTTCTTCGCGCGGCCGATGGCCAGCAAAGGGGCGCTCCTGTTCCCAAAAGGAACGGGGAGGCTTACGATGCACCCTGAGGGATGGATCGTCTAATGTCCTGTAAAGCCTTGGATGACGACTTCCGCCTCTTGCTCCTCTGCGCTTCTTCTTCCCTTCTGAACGGTTGAGATGCTTGCGCCTCTCTAGGGAACGACTGCGTGGTCTTTCCCCTGAGTTGTCTATCTGACTTGCTGCCCCCCTAGGCGGGTAAGGCGGCTCGGGTGGCTTCCTTGAAGGATCCGACTTGGCCTTCACTCCTTTGATGGAAGGGGATCTGACTGTATCCTCTTCGCACTCCTCCTCTTCTTCTTCTTCCTCGTCGTACTCCTCTTCGTCCTCCTGCTCACGCTTTGCAACTTCTGCAGGACGTTCACGGCTTGTTTCGCAGACCCTTGAAGATCTGGGCCTCTCTCCAGCTGCTTCTCCACGAGGCACCGGAGGTGGAGGCGGAGCTGCACGGGATCTCCCAGCGCTCTCTAGGCTGGCTGAAAGCTCACGGAGGGCTACCACGCCGCGGGTAGCACTGATCACCAGTTCCTCCGCTACCTTTCTCAGCCCGGGCGTGGCCCAGCGGCCAGCCAGCTCAGTTCGAAGAGACTCCACCCCCGAACAAGCCAGACACCAGCTATCAGTGCCGTGCGGAGGGCACTGGCGGCACCTGGCGCAAAGCATCCAAACCCTAAGAAAACCTGGAGAGCTTGGGCCTGAAATAGCCCCATGTCGGCGACAATCGTGAGGTGGTTCCCACAAAATGTTCAAAGAACTTTCTTTGACACACAGACGCTTTTACACACAGACGCTTTTACACACAGACCCTTTTACACACAGACGCCTTTACACACAGACACTTTTACACACAGACGCTTTTTACCCACAGACACTTTTTACACACAGACGCTTTGACACACAAACACATTTACACACAGACGCTTTTACACACAGACGCTTTTTACACACAGACGCTTTTTACACACAGACGCTTTGACACACAAACACATTTACACACAGAGGCTTTTACACACAAACGCTTTTACACAAACACTTTTACACACAAACACTTTTACACACAGAGGCTTTTACACACAGACGCTTTGACACACAGACGCTTTTACGCACAGACGCTTTTACACACAGACTTTTACACACAGAGACGCTTTTACACACAGAAGCTTTTACACACAGACGCTTTTTACACACAGACGCTTTTACACACAGACGAAAGGGTTGCTCCGGCACAGAAAAAATCGCAATTTTACCTCAGTTTCTACCGATCGACCCTCATTTCGTGCGAAAGGGTTGCTCCGGCACAAGTAAAATCGCAATTTTACCTCAGTTTTTGCCGATCGACCCTCATTTCGTGCGAAAGGGTTGCTCCGGGGCAAGTCAAATCGACCCTCATTTCGTGCGAAAGGGTTGCTCCAGGGCAAAAAATCGCAATTTTCCTCAGTTTTTGACGATCGACCCTCATTTCGTGCGAAAGGGTTGCTCCGGGGCAAGTAAAATCGCAATTTTACCTCAGTTTTTGCCGATCGACCCTCATTTCGTGCGAAAGGGTTGCTCCGGGGCAAGTAAAATCGCAATTTTTACCTCAGTTTTTGCCGATCGACCCTCATTTCGTGCGAAAGGGTTGCTCCGGCACAAGTCAAATCGCAATTTTACCTCAGTTTTTGCCGATCGACCCTCATTTCGTGCGAAAGGGTTGCTTTAGCACAAGTAAAATCGCAATTTTACCTCAGTTTTTGCCGATCGACCCTCATTTCGTGCGAAAGGGTTGCTCCGGGACAAGTCAAATCGCAAATTTTCCTCAGTTTTTGCCGATCGACCCTCATTTCGTGCGAAAGGGTTGCTCCGGGACAAGTCAAATCGCAATTTTTCCTCAGTTTTTGCCGATCGACCCTCATTTCGTGCGAAAGGGTTGACGTTTCGTGACTCGCCGCCGGCACCACCCTCGGCCTTAAGAGAGAAAGATAAAAAGAAGGCGAGAGAGAGAAAAAGGAGAGAGAAGGAGAGAAGATGTGAAGGTGAGAAGATGTGAGAGAAGGTGTGAAGATGAGCAGATGTGAAGATGAGCAGATGTGAGAGAAGATGTGGAGATGAGCAGATGTGAGAGAAGATGTGAGAGAATATGTGAGAGAAGATGTGAAGATGAGCAGATGTGAGAGAAGATGTTAGAGAAGATGTGAAGATGAGCAAATGTGAAGATGAGCAGATGTGAAGATGAGCAGATGTGAGAGAAGATGCGAGAGAAGATGAAGATGAGCAGATGTGAGAGAAGATGTGAGAGAAGATATGAAGAAAGATGAGCAGATGAGAGAAGATGTGAGAGAAGATGTGAGAGAAGATGTGAAGATGAGCAGATGTGAAGATGAGCAGATGTGAGAGAAGATGTGAAGATGAGCAGATGTGAAGATGAGCAGATGTGAGAGAAGATGTGAAGATGAGCAGATGTGAAGATGAGCAGATGTGAGAGAAGATGTGAAGATGAGCAGATGTGAAGATGAGCAGATGTGATGATGAGCAGATGTGAGAGAAGATGTGAAGATGAGCAGATGTGAGAGAAGATGTGAGAGAAGATGTGAGAGATGTGAGAGAAGATGTGAAGATGAGCAGATGTGAGAGAAGATGTTAGAGAAGATGTGAAGATGAGCAAATGTGAAGATGAGCAGATGTGAAGATGAGCAGATGTGAGAGAAGATGTGAGAGAAGATATGAAGAAAGATGAGCAGATGAGAGAAGATGTGAGAGAAGATGTGAAGATGAGATGAAGATGAAGATGAGCAGATGTGAAGATGAGCAGATGTGAGAGAAGATGTGAAGATGAGCAGATGTGAAGATGAGCAGATGTGAAGATGAGAAGGTGTGAAGATGAGAAGGTGAGATACAGACCCCCACTATTGGAAGAACCCTGCGCTCAGACGCTCTCGGGAAAAATGTTTTTAACAATAATAAATTGTTTTTCATGTGGTTCAAACAATGTGGTCCATGTGGTCCATTTGGTTAAAACAATGTCATAAACCACCCATTTGGGAAGTGTTTATACCACCTATTGATGGTGATTTTTGGGCGATGGCTTATGACATTGTTTTCCCCACATTATGTTTTATATATGAAAACATGCCAGTCGACCCATGGTTTTATCATTAAACCCATGTTTATTTCTAGTTAACTTCAATATCGTCACATATGGTTCCATTTGTTCATTATCTTGAAGGGTAAACTAGTATAACTAGTTTTTCTGACTTTCGAATGTGGATTGCCTTTCGATTTTTCCGATTTTCGAAGGGTAAACCATGGTAAGCCAGTTCAGACTTGGCAAACGTGCTGTGGGAGTCTTACTGTAACATTTTGATGGAAAAAAATGCAATTATTGCTAAAATGTAAGGAATATCTGCATTATATACATATAAATACATATATCATATACATATGTGTGTGTGAAATACAGTGTGTTTCCATGGCGTTGCATGCATGCGTGTCTGTATATGTGCTTATGAGTATGCATATATATACATATATATTGCACATACAGTCACATACACATATATACATATATCAAATAAATTCAAATAATATAAATATATATGCATATAATATTTATACACTCATAAATAAATAAACAAATAAATAAATTTATATATATGCACAGATGGATCCCCATCGCTGCTCACTCGTTCAAGAGACCGCATGTGCCGATGTAGCAACACCTCAGTGTCCAACTTCAGTGGTTCACCTTCCTTCAGCTACAAACGATGCTGACAAATCCCCAAACTAAATGGAGGCTTGCAGCTGGCAAAATCATCTATAAACGGAAAAAAATCTATACGTTTGATTCCTGCTTGGTACACAATTTCTGGATTTCAAGACTCTTGCGGGTGACACCCTAATCTTGTAGCTCTTCTCTTGTGAGGTTCCTCTCAATTCTTTCAAGATCTTGCAGTGCTGCAGAACGACGGTCCGAGATGATTGCTATTCACCCCCTCCAGTTACATCCTGATCCATTTTCCCAAATGAACATTGTCCATTTCCGCGAAAATTTATGGCGGTCATTTTCCCATTGGAATCCCATTAGAATGGTTGTATATGGTTATATAGTTATATAATACGTCATATCCAACACATCTCTTTTTATGGGTTATTTTACATTAATTAATACATATCTCTCAGATATGGTTATCCCACGAAAATCCATTCAGATCATAAGTACTCTCCAGTAATCAAGCATGGCAATTGAACATCTTCCATTTGCAAACGGATTTCCAAGCTATATGTCTCCGTTTAGTTCAGGGATGTTCAGGGATTCTCCAGCTAGCCACGTTTGATTACCAAAGGATAGTGTGTGGATATGTGTAGATGATATCACATCATTCACATCCGCATTAGATCTTCCTAGATTTTCCTAGGTTTTCCCATATTTTCCCCTATTTTCCCCGATTTTCCCATATTTTCCCATTAAAATTCATGGATCAACAAGAACAGTCCACCGGGTCCACCGGGTCCACCGTCACCAGGTCGCCGCATCTCCCGCTCTCAGCTTCAGCGCCGTGGCCCTCCCCGGTGGTTCCGCAGCCGGCGCTGCGTCGCAGGGCAGGCCCTCGTAGTTCCGCAGCGGCGCGCCCTGCGCGGCCAGCGCGGCGGGATCGGCGGAAGGGTCGCAGATGCCTCGGGCGGCATCTGGAACCTTGAGATGATGGGAAAATTTACTGGAAAAACAAGATGGGTTTACCACCAAATATAGGGTTTTCCCATCTTGTCATAGAATTGGATGATGGGAAAATTTACTGGTTTAAGCCCTATATTTGGTGGTAAAAAACCATGGTTTCCGGTTCAGATTTTCCCTTAAACCAATCCAATGATCTTGGGACTGGGCTGTTCTTCATGGTTTCAGGTTGGAAAATGTTGGAAGTACCCCTGGAAAATGGAACAACTAGCATACAAACCACCTTTTTCCATACAAATCAGGAGGTTCAACATGTGTTTATCCCAAAAATATCAACCACCAATATCTATTGGGGATTATCTGGATTAGTTTCCAGTCTCTAGACACTCATTTGGGCAATGTTCAAAAAATGAAATGTCATGGAATGTTATTGCATTCTACTGGTTGGTCAAGAATGGCGTTCCTAGCATGGATTGTGATAATTCCCGATATTATCCGGCAGTATACCCCGCCCAAAAAACATCGAGCAAGAGGGGTTTTGAACACTGCTCAGCCGTCAGCTGCGGATCACCAAACCTCATTAATTAGCATCCTATTTATATATATATATCCCATTATAGTTTACTGTATCCCATTCTGCCATCTATTTACTGATTGTACAGGGGGGGGAAGGACATCTATGGGGTTCATTCCAATTTTGCTTGCTGAAATCTCCATTTCTGCAGGTTAAATCCCCATTTTGGTTGGTTAAATATCTTAAATGCCCATCTTGAAATACAACCATGGTCAATCTTTGATAGTCCACAAAAACTCATCTTTTGCTGGTTATATATGGTTATTATATTAGTTATGTTCCATATTTATAGCAAAAAAACAAAGGATCAAACTACCCATCCAGCCGGTTGGGATGTAACTGACCAGCCCGGCGTCCCAAAGCAGGCTCTCGTCGCAGGTGAACGTGGGAGCCGGGCCAGACGCACAAATTGCCACAGAGGACGTCA